TACCAGACAGGGAGTGAAAGTTTCTTTTTTAATGATTTCTAGAGACTGGCTATGGCCAGATAAGTCTAGCATTGTGTCCCCTTCCACTCCCCGTTGCACTGGATACTTATTGCATGATGGCTTTCATCAAGGGCCCACATGTTTTGAATGAAAAAAACACCTGCTTACAGTGCTAACCAGCCTCAAAGGCAGAAAGCATAGCTAATAAAATCTTTCCATCCAAGCAGGCTTTTCCGGTAGTGAAACTAAAAAGGCAGTAGCATGTACTGATGAATCTCTTCACATTTATACTTCAGGACACGACATGGTGACTGCACCTGGGAACTCTCCCACTGAGTGGAAAACCAGCAGACTTCCAGGTCGGGGAGCTCTCTCATGAGTGTGTCATGGAGTGAGGCCATAATTACCGTTGATGGAACCCTATTTGTTTAAGTGGATTTTAAATCCTGTTTTTAAGACTTGGTTAGGAAGTAACAGAAATAATAACCTGTATTTTCTTAGGACTTCTGCAACATGTACAGCATCTTATCATTAACATCGTCATGATGGCTCTTCTGTTTTGAGGCAGTGCAGTGTCTGGAGCAGTGCTAAGTACTTTAAACCCCACAACAATCCTTTGAGGTCTGCTCAGCCCCATTTTACAGTTAAAGGAGGTTCAGAGAGACACTGGGTTATAAACACAGGTATGAATGATTCTGAGACCTCTAACCACTGCACTGTCTGCTAATTTATCCTCCCAATTATTTTGTGAAGCCAGAAATTATTTTCATTTTAATGAGCAGAGTGTCAGAGATACTGAATGACTTGCCCGAACTAGATCATGTTACCATCTTATTGACCGCAACCCCAATATGTACAATTCTTTATGATGAAAACAATATGACCAGGAAGATGAAGGTCTTAGGGTTAGGAACAAGAAGACATGATAACTCTAATATTCACGCCTCTAACTTTATCCATTTACAAAAAGAAGAAAATTCACAAAATTCTTAAGAAGGTCCTTTATAGACTTTGGATATTAACTCCTTATCATATAAGTGATTTGTAAATATTTTCTCCCATTCTGTAGGTTGCCTTTTCATTTTGTTGATGGTTTTCTTTGCTGTACAGTAACTTTTCAGTTTGATGTAGTCCCACTTGTTTATTTTTGCTTTTGGTGTAAAAAAAAAAATGAGGTCAAGAATGAGGCCAAGGAGCGAGCCTCCTATGTTTTCTTCCAGGAATTTTATGATTTCAGGCATTATGTCTAGGTCTTTAATCTATTTTGAGTTGATTATTTTTTGATATGGTGTAAGATAGTGGTCCAGCTGTTCAGTTTTACCACCAGCATTTATTGAAGAGACAATCCTTTCCCATTATATATTGTTGACTTCTTTGCCATAAATTAATTGACCGTATCTGTGTGGTTTTATTTTTGAGCTCTCATTTTGTTCCATTTTTATAAGTCTCTGTTTTTATACCAATAGTATAGTTTTGATTACTATAGCCTTGTAATACTTTAAAGTCAGTAACACTTCAACTGATTTTCTTTCTCAGGATTGCTTTGCCTATTTAGGTTCTTTTGTGGTTCCATACAAATTTTAGAATTGCTTGCCTTATTTCTCTGAAGAATGCCATTGGAATTGTGATAGGGTTTGCATTGAATCTGTATGTTGCTTTGTGTAGTATGGACCCTTGAGCATGAAATATCTTTCCATTTATTTGTGTCTTCAATTTATTTCACCAATGTCTTCTAGTTTCCAGTGTATAGGTCTTTCACCTCTTTGGTTAAATTTAGTCCCGGGGCCCTGGCTTGTGTGGTTCAGTTGGTTGAGCATCATCCCAGCACTGAGAGGTTGCAGGTTGGATTCCTGGTCCAGGGAACATGTCCAGGATGCAGGCTTGATCCCCAGCAGGGGGTGTGCAGGAGGCAGCAGATCACTCATTTTTGTTTCTCCCTTTCCCTTCCCCTCTCTCTAAAATTAATAAAAACATATTTAAAAAAAATTTAGATCCATGAACATGGACAATATTGTGGTGAAGGCCTGGGGATGCGCAGGGGCAGGGTGGAGGGGGTCAATGGGAAAAAAATGGGACATAGGTAATATTTTTAACAATAAATTAAAAATAAATTAGTCCCAAGTATTTTATTCTTTTTGATGCAATTGTAAATGAGCTTATTATCTTGATTTTTCTTTCTGATAGTTTATTATTGTATAGAAAGGCAACTGATATTTATGTATTGAAATTGTATCCTGCAACTTCACTGAATGTTTATGAGTTTTAACAGTTTTTTTGTGGAGCCTTTAGGATTTTCTATATATATTATGACACCTGCAAATATAGTTTCACTTCTTCCTTTCTGATTTGAATGCCTTTTAATTCTCTTGCCTAATTGTTCTGGCTAGGACTTCCAGTACTATGTTGAATAAAAATGGTTAGAGTGGGCATCCTTGTCTTGTTCCTGAACACAGAGGAAAAGATTTCAGCTTTTCACTGTTGAATTTGATGTTAGTTGTGGGCTTGTCATAAATGGCCCTTATCATGTTGAGACACATTCTTTCTTTATCCAGTTTGTTTTTTATCATGAAAACCTTCTTTGATCTCTCATTTTTCCTTAAGAATAATATTAAACAATACTGGCTAGACTTTACCACCTGCCAGATACACAGAGCACTTTACAAACATTAGTTCATATAATTCTCATGATCACCCTATGTGTGTATATGTTATTAGTATGTTTTCCAGATGGACAAACTAAGGCACAGCAAAGGAGGCGCTATTTCAGCGGTTCTCAACCTGTGGGTCGTGACCCCTTTGGCGGTCGAACGACCCTTTCACAGGGGTCGCCTAAGGCCATCCTGCATATCAGATATTTACATTACAATGCATAACAGTAGCAACATTAGTTATGAAGTAGCAACGAAAATAATTTTATGGTTGGGTCACAACATGAGGAACTGTATTTAAAGGGCCAGAAGGTTGAGAACCACTGCTCTATTTATAGACTCATCTCTATCCTTGCAGATCTAAGGCACAGAAGATCCCGTTTGTTAAATCTCATTTGCAGAAGAGCACAGTAATTCTGTACACAGAGTACTTGGGTTCCAATCTCAGCTACACTTACTAGTAATAGCTCTTTAAACTTGGACAAATTACTTAATTTTCTAGGACTTCAGTTTTCTTGATCTGCAAACCCTTGAATTTGTTCACTTTGGATTTAAATTGTTAAAATACATATTCATTTTATAAAAATGGCTTTAAAAAATTTAACAAGAGTTGGACTAGAACAAGGACTGCTAGCTTCTTGTTTTATCCTAAGTAGCTCTAGGGGCTTCACTTTTTATCTATTTTGCATATTTGGCTTCTTGGTAAGATTTTATTTAAATGCAGGGTTGCATAATAAAGTTTTTTTGAGCACTAGTAATCAGTTACATCTATGTGTGATTAGTGGGCAGGAATATTTAAATCTTGGTCAGACTTTCTGTTCTCATATAGGGTCATGTATGTTCAGGAAGACTAATTTAAATATTAACAACATACAAGTAGGAAAACGTGTTGCAGAAAAAGTGTCTGCATAAAAGGTTAACTGACAAAAACAAGTGGCTAAGTAAGGTCACATTCGAGTTCTAGAGGCCACAGGTAGAGCTGTTCCTACCAATGCCTACATTATTTAAAAAATGGTGACATGTTTATGATATATACACTAATGCTACCTGATGAAAAATAAAAACTGAGAACATTGACAGATTTTGATGTTGAAAAAAGTAATTTAATCTTTAATGACCAGTGCAATTGCTACTGTATTGCAGAGTAACCAGGCCTACATTGTAAAATTTCAAGAGACTAAAATTAGTATTGCTTCTTTTTTCTCCAACAAAGGTGTTTTTGACTAAATAGTTATTTTTTCCTGTACTTACTGGGAATTACCCCAATTTATTCCAATTCCTCCAGCTCCATCCTAGCCCACACCATTTTTTGTTTAATGCTTAACATGCTCACATTATTAACCTTTTGTGGTCCAACATCGAGGCTGACTCAACAGACCAGGCGCTAGTAGCAGGTCCAACATCGAGCTGAGTTGGTGATTGAGCTAATTGGCAACTTCCGCCAGGGAACTACTGCAATCAAGAGA